AGAGAGAGAGAGAGAGAGAGAGAGAGAGAGAGACAGAGAGAGAAAGAGATAGAAAGAGATAGAAATAGAGAGAAAGAGAGAGAAAGAGAGAGAAAGAGGAAAAAGAGCGAGAGTGACAGGGAGAGAGAGACAGAGAGAGAGAGAGAGAGAGACAGAGAGAGAGAGAGAGAGAGAGAGAGAGAGAGAAACAAATCTGTACAATATATCTGAACGTAATAAATGGTGTAATAATAACGCTGGTGGTGTTGCTTAGTTTGCTGGTGATGTCAAACAATCAATTAATGTTTGTACCTGATGTCGTTGTTGTTGTTGTTGTTGTTGCTGTTGTATTCATACGTCCGTGTGCCGAATGACGACGAAAATTGTCCCGATTGTATGTGTAATCATAGTAACATTTGCGTATAGGAACTGGTGTGTGAATATTTGTACCATAGTTGGTGTAACAAGTAGAGCTGCCCGCTAAACTTGTCGTTGGACCCAAAAGATTAGTGCTATCATTTAACGGATATGGACCCATGCCTTCAACCGTTAATGAAAACGAAGTTGTACCAAAGACTTTAGTAGTTGTAGGTTTGTTTTTTTTTTTTTTTATTTGTTTTATTTTTTTTATTTTTGAATAAGTTTAAACATAATTTTGATGTAAAGGCCAAATCAATGTTTTTTTTTTTTTTTTTTTTGTTTTGTTTTCGGATTAATTATTGTGTATATGGATTATTTATAGTTTGTTCATTTAATCATTTATTTTATTTTTTATGTGTAACCGCAAATGATTTTTATGCCAAAAAGTAAAAAAAAAAAAAAATGGTCGTAAATGTGAAATAAAATTCAAAAGAAATTGTTAAAAATATTTTTTTATATTTTCATTGTTTTTTTTATTTATTTTTTTTTAAACTAATTAAAAAACTAAATTGTACATACAGACATATATAGGTATAATAAATTAATTGCCCACGGATAACACTGAGTTCACTACTAAAACAAGAACAAAAAATATTAAAGTTAAATATCTATTTTGACAGACAGTAAACGTAAATTGAAATGAAACAAAAAGACGAAACGAATATTCGAAACGAAGCGAATCTCGGATGCATTGCCATCGCATACCGCAAATATATATGAAATTCCTTCGACGCAAATAAATCAAAGGTCCCTAAATAAGTTTCATAATCCTTATGATCGTCGCATGACAATCGGATTTAAGTTATTTATTCCTCTTTTCCTTTTTTCGATTTAAAGAAAAGAAAAGTTTTCGCAAAAAAGAAAAAGTTCGTCAGATATGAAAGGGTACTTCAGATTCATATTTTTCCCATATTTTATGCGAATTTCATGTGCCCTTTGCATTGGTAACTTTTTGCAATTTTCTTACTGAAAACCACTATGTCATTATTCGGGATTTTGGAATTTTTGGATGAAAATCTGAAATCAGTAAAAGTCGTATGCAGAGAGCGAAGCAAATGGTAATCGAATGGAACAAGTTCCAGGCTATACGATACACTGTCAATCTGTATCAAATCGTTTACGATGTGTGTTATCTGGCATCGAGGTGTTGTTAGTCAACGCTTTTCTTATTGATCAAGTTTGAACGCAACTACGCTCTTTAATCATTGTTGCCGGTAAAGAATGAAAGCATTCGCTTGATTAAAGCGGATCATCTAAATAGGCGCGATTTCCATTCAATCCAATCTAAATAAATTTCAAAGTGTTACCTTACGCGATTTGGTCCTGTTCGCGATGTTTTATTCATTTCGGAGCAGCACCTTTTTCTCACCTTAGTCCCATATGCCGGGCATTTTCCAACGCCCATTATTAATCTTCACGAAATGAATCCGATTTAGTTTCGTTTTTGTAACAATCCGTAGATCAAAATTTGATCGCTGATAATTTAATTCATATCCTTCCTACCTTTTTGGGATAAATAACTTTACCTGATACGAACGAATCAATCGAGGCGGTGTTATGAGACGAAACGTGCCAGGGCATTTTAAAGGATTCTATCGAGTTTTTCAACGATTACTCGACCAATGCGGAGTCCACATTTAACATGGAGATTTGTAGAGTGAAAATGCGTAAACCAATTCTTTGCTTCTGATTTCAACTAAGCGTCTGAATCACGAGGAAAGTGATTTTGTAAGGCGAAATAAGGGAATTTTTTCAGAATTTCACCTCACTTTAAAAGCATAATTAATTCTCACTGACTTATTAAAGTCAACAAACTTTTCTTCTTTCAATATATCAGAGACTGTTACTTCCCCTACTCGTTGTAGCATCGGTTGGTAAATACGCCAAAGAAATTTATATTTTACATAATCTAAATAAATTTCATGTATATCTCTCTACACCTAAAGAAATGTCCGGACAAGTTTTAAATTTAAATTAACATTACACTTAATGTATTTCTCACTAAAGTGTAAGGCATCATTACCATTTCGATGTGGTATATGTTGTATATTGACGGAAATGATTGCGATTTTAGATTCATCTGAAGATGAAAACGATAGTAACGTACAAGTGTTAATTCACTAAAGTGCTTTTGGCAATGGAATCGGTTAATTTTTTTTAATTTGAAATGAGTGCGAATTGTTCAGCACTCTGTACTGGAGTCAGCTCTTCATTGCCGTTTATTTGGTTCTTTGGAGTATCAATTATTTTTATAGCATTATACTGGAAATTGTTAGCCAATTTTGAGATCTTCCTGGACGCCCACGCTTTCTCACTAATACATACCTTAGATCTCATGAATGTGAGTCCAAACGAATAGGTGACATTGAAGATTTAATAATTTTCCAGTTCTTCGTTTTAAGTGTTTTAAGGGAATTTAGAATGCTTCGGCACGAGTTGGGCTGCATGCTTAAAGACTAATATAAAGAAATTTTCTAACAGTCGAACATGTCTTAGAACATGTTAGAATTATGCGCAATTTGTTAGAATAATGTTTGCTTACCTCCGCATCATTGCGATAAACGTTGGCCTATGATATTCGACCAATTAAGGTGAAAAATAAGAAAATCTACCCATCAAATATGGATCACATTGTTCGCTATCTATACAAGTTTTTGGTTCTTATTGTGAATAGACTGGATTTGTGTCAATTTTATTACAATTTTTTTGTAGGAATTCCTTAAAAAGACCGGCAGATAGATCAAAGCGCCTCAGAACGTGACGAAAGGCCATGGTATGACAAGTGGAATTAAAAAATTCATTATTTTTACAAAACAATTAAAACGAATTATTTTATTATTCCGAAGCTTAGGGGGCCCTACAAAGTCAATGTATGCTCTTGAGCAGCATCAAGTTCTGAATCGATTTAAGCATGTCCGTTTATCCATCTGTCCGTCTGTGTAGTGCCTGTTTTAATATTCTTCTGATCGCAAAAATGAAGCTATCAACATGAAATTTAGCAAAAATGTTGCAAGTTCTTGCACGCAGGTGGCTGTTGAAACCGAGACAAATCGGTTCAAGACCATGCCTACAGTGGCACGTCAACTAAGAACATTTATGTCACGTCATTACTCTGAAACTGTAGTAGAAAAATGTACAAATAATAAGAAAAAATGGACCACGCCTATTATAGTGCAGACGCAAGCTCCAATAAAGTACATAAATTCTTCGCCAGTTTCAAACTCGGAACGTACATAACCATGTCCGTCTGCCCGACAGTGTGGTAGCTGTACTATGCATTCTCTTGCTCGCAAAAAAGAAGATACCGCAAAAGAGTTTGGAAACGTCCCAAAACAGCTCGAAAACCTCGCCCATAGCGTTCACACGTATCTACAACTAAAACAGATTTACTCTCCGTGTATTTCGGTCGTAGTTTACAAATTTCAACAGATGCACGATATAAATTTCCACGTAATTATTTTACAAAAATAGAAAAAATTAGCCACGCCCACCCAATGTTATGGAATATGCGAATTTACATTTTTCCCTTTTTTCAACGGACACCGCTGATGGACTATAAAAGATCCGGTCATGATTGAACATAATTTTCTTACTCAGGGGACGGATGGACAGACTGATTGTTTATTCGATCCGACTGTTCATGTTAATTGAAAATATACTTTAAGGCGTTTTCGCTTTTCGTTTTAACAAGCATTTTGCAAATTCGCTATGCTCGTTGCAGGGACTAAAATAAGATAACAATTATCTTAATGAAGTGAAATTTTTTTTTCCTTTTTCACATTTTTCACATTTTTTGATTGATTGTAATTGATTTAAATTATCTTTTTTTGGACTAATATCGTCGGACGTTTACGTGAAAGTTCAAATTTCATGCGATATTTTAAAATAATATTTATTGCAATCCGCGAGGTAGGTAATCGGAATTTTAATCACATTTTATCGATTTTTCATGAGCACGTTGGAAGCTTATAAAGAAATGTATATGGTTTAAGGAGTAAATCCGTTAAGCAAATATTTGTGTCACAAGTTGTGTTGTGAAAGTTTTTGTTATGAAGTTTTCATCTCTAAGAGATGCTAACCAAATGAAAGGTTTAGTTTAAATTGACTGATTTTGAATAGCTACATAGGTTCGATTAATCAATTGATTTATTGTACCTTACACTTGTGGTACAAGGGTATATTAAATTTATGCGGATGCACGCATTACCCGGAAGGATTTGCAATAGATTCATCTTTTATTATACCGATCGATTCGCAAAGTGATTCTCAGTTTCTAAGTTTTCTGTCCGTCTGTCCGTTTTTTTTTTTTTTTTTTCATATGATCAACCCACTGGTCATAATTTTTCAGATATTTTAAAGTAATTTTTGACACTGACGTGCTTTCGCTCAAGGACGAATGCTATTGGAAATGTCTGGGTTTGGACTAACTTTTCGACCATTTCTCACCTAACACTTTAACTTGAGAAGCCGTTCTATGAATAAAGTGCATAAGATGATATAGGATATTTACTGGTCGGCGGTGGCCCACTACGATGTTTTTCCTTACCAATCAAACCAATTAAAGGTCATTTATCGAACTTTGGGATGCTAATCATTCGTCATATTTATTACGATTTTCCTACAGACAGCAAAACATTAGAATGTTTACGATTTTTTGCTTCAGCTTCTTTGCGTACTTTTCATGGGAACGGGTGTTTCCATTTGCCATCAGTATAAGAATCAAGAGTTGTCCAAGGGAAAGAAAAATCCTCACAAGAATGAAATCAAAACTGAATAACAATCGTAGTGAATGTCGCCTTTAGTTACTTAGCTCAGCAATTTTTTGTATTATTTAGGAAAGCAAAATTCCATTAATTCGCTTCTTCTTTTAAATATAAAATCTATATATATATAACTATATATATACATATAATATAATTTGGAGTAGAATGAAAAAAAGAAAAATAATAATAATAATAATAATATAAATAAATAAATAAATAAATTTAAATAAAGAACATTTAATTTTAAAATTACTGTTCAAAATTACACAAACGTAAAAACTTTAATATAGAATATGCTATGAATGAAAATTAGAAAGATTTGAGTCTACATAGAGAATAGTTAAGAAAGACACATGTTTTAGATTAAGATGTTAATCACTGGTCGAAGAGTACTTTCTTTTGTTAATTTTTTTTTTCTTTTTTTTTTTTTTTGTGTGTTTGTGTTAATAATTTGTATTCTAATATAAATATCAAGTGTATTGTGTGTTTGACAAGTAAACGATAAAAGAAAACAAAAAACAGAAAACAAAAAAACAAAAAAAGGAAAAACAGTTAACTAAATATTCTTACGTGAGTCATTCTTTTCCTCAGATACCATCAGGGCGGCACGTTCTATGCCAGAATTCATACTCTGTGGCTCCAAACTATTTGTGTAGTTTAGCATACTCCTGAAATTCGCACACTCTACGATTATGTTTTAAAGTGTATGGTAGAAAATTGCTTGATTTTTTTTTTTTTTCTTGTGTGTATGTGTTTGATCAATTTTACGTTTTTCAAATTAAAAAAAAAAAAAAAAGAAACAAAAAAGAAAAAAAAACAACATTTGACTCAATAAAAGGAAAAAAAAAAACGTTTCAAATCACAAGAAACTGAATAAGTGGTATAAGTTATTGATTGACTCTTTCTTCTATTCGTTATAATTTGCTAGAAATGTGAAGATTACGCGGACTTTTTTTATGTCAATCTTCTCCCGTTCAACGAACAATCAATTATTTCAAGAATTGCAGACAGAAGGAAGAAAAGACTTTCAATTGAAATTTTGCATAAATTGTGATCACCTTAAAATTATTAATTTTACTTTACGAGTTCTTTTCTAATTTCGTTGATGAAATTTCGATCAAAGAAGAAAAGAAAGAATAATTCTATACATAGGATTATCGTTCGTGGTTTACGGATAAGCAGTTCCCCTCTCTAAGTATTACACTGCTCAAGGTATTGTTACTACCATCGTTCAATATTATATCGCATAAGAGATAAAGTTTGAAAAAAATCTCCATCTTTCTGCGGGAAAATAAGTATTCGCGTTGATAAGGTTGTTTGCAACATACACGAAATGCTAAAATTTAAAACAAGACCTCCTGTCTATAAAAAGTTTATATTGCATTAGGAATTATTATCTTCTCTCAGTGATTTTCTTAATTTTCTTTGTTCTTCGTGCTACCCAATCCATGAATGAATGAATGTCTCTTCCATTCTCTGACTTATATCTCTATATATATCTCTACTTTACCCATTACTATCTGTTTTTATTTTTCTTCTTTTCTTACTCTTACTCATTGCGATTTTATTCCATTCTCCTCTCTCTTCTTCTCTTCATCAATCTTTTAAATTTACTTTAATTCACCTCATTATACTGCGTTTCGTATTATTTCGTATTATATCGTTTCATTTCAAATTATCTTTTCCCCGTTTACTCCGTCTACGACATTTTACCTAAATCAATCTTATCTAATTTCTCTCTCTCTCTCTCTCTCTCTCTCTCTCTCTCTCTCTACCTATTCTATCTCGAGCAGGCCAGTATCGCTTACACAGAGCATGTTACAACGACAATTGAAAACACTTAAGAGTATATATGTCTTTAAGACCGACATATTTCAGTGAAAATTTTAAGAAATTTCCTCCAATGTTTGTATATAGGTTTCCGTAATTTTTATACTCTACACCATTTGTGGAAGAACGGTGTATTAAGTGTGCGCCGACGTATGCCGCAGCCAGACAGACTTGAGATAGATCCAACTTTTACTACACCGATTTATTACGAATGATTTTCTGAAACGATTTAAGCCTGCCTGTCTATTTTGTTTTCTTCTGTTAATCTTATAGGTCACAATATTTGAGATATTTTCATAAAATTTTGTATGCCGACGTGTTTTGGCCTAAGATCGGTTCGGATTGGATCAAGTTTTCATCCACCTCTCAGATAAGACCTTATTTTGAAAGTTGTTATAGGACAAGCTCAGATATAAAAGAAGCTATCTGTCGAAACTGGCTTTAATTGGACGAATGGACGGACCGAAGAGGATGTGTCGATTATAGTGTCAATGGTAGCAGACCTTAGTTCAGAGCTGCTTGATTTCAGGGGAAGAAAGGCTCGAGCATGTCACCGTGTACCTTCCGAGGTCAGATCGTACGCCTCATTTCAAAAAATCGTTATATGAATAAGTGTTAGTATTAAGTGAAGTGATCTAGGTTATTTAATGGCGGGCTGTAGACTGCTATAATATTTTTACTTACTGTGAATGAATAAACCTAAATTGATTTTAAGCATAACTCCCAAATTGAAAATCTTGACTCTATAGGAGAAAGCTAAATCGCAGTACTTAGGCACAAAGGAGCCTGACTACGGGCGCCGCTTTATAGCAGTTTTTATTTTTGAAATATTTTATTTTATATACTATTATCACTGGTAAATGATATGATGATTGTACGGAAAAGATGAATCACATACTTCTAGTCTTGATATTCCATGATATTTACGTTTAGAAGGAAGTTTAAATTCAATGAAGATTATTAGGCGAAGAAATGTTTCTCATCAAACGAGACCAAGTGAAATCTGATCATACTTTGAGTAAGTGGTTATATTATTTGTAATCAAATTTATTTTATATGTCATCTTATAAAAACCAAATTAAAAAAACCAAATATATATATATATATATATATACATACTTGTAATAATTTGTAAACATATATTTTGATAAAAATTAAAATCATTAACTTTACCTTGGAAGTTATTTTAGAGTTTGTTATTATTTCATTTATATAAAAAATTATATTTTAATTTTATTAAAGATATTGAAAATGTTTTATTTATATATATATATTAAAAAAAAAAAAAAAAAAAAATGCTTAAATTCGAAGAAAAAATAAATTTCTATTATTGTAGGAGATAAAAAGGAAAAATATAATTAAATATTGTGCTGTTATATAAAAGAGATATGGGCATCGGAAAAAGTGTGCCTGCGTGTATGTGTACAAGTGTTCATATATATATATTACTATAGCAAAATTATTTATATATAGGTCTGTCGGTCATAGAATTATAAGATGGCGGTAGTATTTCAATGTCTTCGTTAAGAGTAGGAGCGGAGACACTGTTGACGCTAAATAAAAAATTAAAATAAGTAAAGGAAAAAAAAATATAAACAAATTAAATATATAAATAAAGCAAAAAATAAAATAAATAAATAAATAATGTAATAAAAATTAGAAAAATAATAAAAAATTTTCAAATATAAAAAGTAATTGAGAATTACAAAAAAAGAAAAAGAAAGAAGAATAAAGGCAACAAACAAATAAAAGATGAAAGCTTTCGCTGAATGTAGGAGATGATGAGATAGAGCTAAATGCAGTTAAGGCATGAAGAACAAACGCATGATATGGTTTTGTAGAAATATATATATAAAAGTAAAATTTTTTTTTTTTTTTTTTTTTTTTTTTTTTTTTTGAAAATGATTTATTAACGTTATTTAAAAACAATTTAAAAAAAGTTATATTCGTCTTTAGACGAATCTCCAGTACCCACCACCACCACCTGCACCTCCACCTCAAGCGTACATTTAAAGAATTGTTCAACTTTTTCTTAGTTGCAACGATCGGATTTACTTTCCAAACGAATGTCTGAACGACTCGCAAAAATTATAGGACCAAATTTGAATTACATAATCTGCTAGGGGAACTATAATTATTTTCAAATATTTTTATTTTTTTTTAAATTTTTTTTAACACTAGATTTAGTACACTCGGCAATTTATCGTTAACCGTGGATGTGTTAGCAAACCGTTTGGATTTTTAGACATCCGGATTATAGGATCGAAAGCTATAAATGAAAATACATGAAATTTTTAGACATCCGGATTATAGGACGAAAGCTATACATGAAAATATGAAAAAATTAACGGCATTGCCCAAAGTTGTTTTACTTTTTTTTTGCATTGTAAACGAATATGTGAATAGATCACGCCCATTTTTTTTTCTTGTGACAATGAAGATTTAAAAAAAATTTACCCGTCAAATTAACGAGTCTCCTTAAATCTAATGTTAATACATTTGGTAATTTTGCAGGTGTATTCTTGAACTGATTATCCGTTCAATTTTTTAAGCTCACAACTTTTTAAGCACATCTCTATATTTTGATTGTTGTTGGGACAGCGGTAACAATAAAGACAGAATGGGGAAAAGACGAGACATTGGAATGGCTAGCGTGGTGTACTTAGTCCGGCTACTTAATATCACTCCGTTTAATCCGTTAGCCTAACATATAGAGGGCGACTAGTCTCAGTCTATTTAAGCTGGACTAGCCAGCTTTTAATGCATATTGCTGCTTATCATAAACGGAATAACAAACACTATACCCTTATCCTTAGGTGATGGGTTTCATCAGAAAAAAAAAAAAAGACGAGAAGATTGATCAACAAAAATGCTGCATATTACTGCAAAAACTATTTAATAAGGAAATATTTGCATACAAAGCATTCAATAGTTTGGAAACGATTATTATTTATGGTAACTGTTTTTTTCATTTTTCATTTTTTTTTTTTTTTTTTGTTTTTTTTTTTTGGCCAAATAAATTTCGTAGCAAATTGTTGTTGTTTTGTTTTCAGTAAACATTTACATACGATCAATAAAATTATATGTACGTAAACACTACGGTATTGATGATGATATAAAATTGATTATTAATTTACTACATTGATTTGAACGAAAAGTACAGTTAAATAGAACTTGGCTTCGAGTAAATTGTAAAAAAAAAGGATTTCTAAGTAGAGCAAAGGATTGGCTTTCAGAAATTTTATTCTTTTCTTTCTTTTTTTTTTATTTTTAGTTTGTGTTTTTTTTTTCAAATTTTTTTGTTCATCATGCAACTTACCCGTACAGTCTACTATCTCGAAATGTCCTTCTGTGTTTTAAGTACAGGGTTTTGTTATATATTGTAGATACATATATATATATATGTATATTATTATATATAGATATATATCCATATATATATATATATATATAAATATATATCCATATGCATGGATTTTAAAATGTTATTTGAAAAGTTAATATTAAATAAATGTAACATATTTAAAAAAAATTAAAGCAAGAATACAAATTAAGGACAATACATACATATACATATGTATACATGTTTATAATTAAATACAAACATATATATATATTCATGTATTATATATAAGCAAATAAATTGGTATGTGTGTAAGAAATGGTGCTTGAGTTGAGAAAAACAAAAAAAAAAAAAAAAAAAAAAACAAAATTTTAAAAACGTTGTTTGTTTATATTTGATTGACGCCTTCATTCATAAAGTGAAGGATCGGAATACAATTAGTTATTGCATACGTGCAGTGATGTAAATTTAATGAATATTATTTCAATAAATACTTTAACGATTTTTTTCTTTCTCTCTGTTATAACTCTGCCGTTAGTATCATTATTAATATTATTATAAATAATTTGAACACACGACCATTGAGTTGTTAGTCGAGATCGTTTGCTTACTCGGCTACTTAGGCCGTAAGCTTATCGAAGTCTAAGCAGACAAGGTTTGGAGTAAATTTTTAGTCTCGATTACTTGAGTTAAACAAAAAGATGCATAAATAGGAGAAGCTTTAAGCTATGGAAGCATTGTCTGAAGGTTATGATCAGCCCTTGAAAATCACAATTCAGTGATATAAATCTTTTCTCCGTCTGCCTGGGTGACCGTTAGACTCGATTGAAAACTTTGCTTCTTTTGTGGGTTAAGTAACAATACTCATGTCTTTTTAGCCGCGATATGGACGTAACCGCAGCTATTACCTAATTGATAACAAATTTTGAAATTGATCACCAAGTTTGAAAATCTAAACTGTACCGGGTAATCTGCTGGTATATGGCGATATCTTTTGTTTTCTGTGAGATGCTTGAAGTGAACTGAGTGATCACTTTCCTTGTTTAGTGGGAAGAGGGCTTTCCTTGATTCTGCTAAGAAGCGATGGCTTCAGCGTATAATGCTTCAGTCTAGTAGGCTTGGAATAACACGCATTCATATATCTTCTTAAAGCTGATCTGAGAACAAAAATGCTTCATGTCCCTGTTTCTTTGCTTACCACACTGGAAAAACGCATCCTGACCGGTTGTCTAGGATTAGGACTGACATTAGATACATTGAAAAAATTTATCCAAGAAGCGCTACGGACGAGCGATATTAATGTCACTAAAGTGCCGAAATTTCTTAATTTTGCTCAATACATCTTAAATATAATTTCTGAAAATTTACGTCTACTCGCTTGTTATTGACAGATAACGTATACAAAATATAGTATTAATGACTCTAGCTATTGCAAGATGGAGGGGGAATGACAAAGCATAGCTTAGCAATGTTTTTCTTTTATGGCATCAAAAACGATAAGTTAGAATAAAATTGAAAGTTTCATCCGAATACATTTACGTATCATGCAGGAAGATAGCGTTAGCAAAAGGTGAAAAATTTTAACACAACATACGTAGTTCAAATTAATTTTCGAACTCTGAAGTAATATTGTTGCTTTCATTCGTATGCAATAACCGTTTGTTGATTTTACACATATATATTTCTATATGTATATATATATTTATTTTTATTTATTTTTCTTTTATTTATTTTTTATTTTTTTGTTAGTTTTTTGAAATCTCATATTCATAACTCTGATAAATTAACTTCCAAGTTTTTTCGTATGAAAACTTTTTTATAAAAAAAAATGAATAAAAATGATAAAATAAATGAAAAGAAATTATTTTGTTTTATCTTCAATACTTTTTTTTTTTTTTTTTTTTTTTTTTTTCTTTTTTTATATAAAAATGGAAAACTAAATAGATATGAGTAGTAGTGGTAGTAATAGCAATAGTGTGTGAATGTCAAAGAATATACCTTCCATTGTTGTGACGGAAGAGTGCCAAGATCTCCTCGAATGTTTTGTTTTTGGTCTCAGGAACCTTCTTATATGTGAATATCCAAAATATTGCTAAAAATACGCTAAAAGGTAAGAATGTGTAATTGTCCAAGCAAGTCTGAAAGCGATGCAAATAAGAACGGAAAGCGAAAAAAAAGAAAAGAGAAAAAGTCAAGGAAGCATAAGTACATTTTTTGTTCATTCCTGTAAATTAAAATTCATTAAATATATGATTCATGGAGTTCTTTATTATAGCCATCGTGGAATTTACAACAACTATGTCGAGAAGTATAGGCGTATCATAAAATATATATATTGAGCTTTGATGGAAATCGCCATATAGCGAATCTCTCATATCTATTAACTCGAACCGTCTAAAGTAATGTTAAATGGTTTTTTTTTTTTTTGTTGTTAAAATTTAGGCGAACGCCATCTGGCAGATGGGGAAGATGTTTTTGCAGTCATTTTTCATACATGCACTCTTTTCTTCCTATCTTTTTGTTGTGTTACTTAAGAAATTCAAATCGTTTGAATCGAGCATTTACACTGACTTTTCAATTAATGTATTCTACATGTATGATTATGTATACGACAGACAGAGGGACAAGATTAATTCGACTTTAAGACAAAGAGAAGGAAAGTTTTTTTTACATTCGTTTAATAGGATTCGAATAATTGGAATAAATAAATGTTTATATATGGCGTACCTTCATACTGGGGAAACCGATGCCAACTACGAAATTTGCCATCCAATTGACCAGCACCGCAATGGCCATGGCACTGGGACGGGGTCCTTGTGAAAATAATTCCGCTGTTATCATCCAGGGTATGGAGCCCGGTCCAACGGCAAAGAACACCACAAATCCGAGAGTGGATACCACCGAGAGATATGACATCCAATCGATCATTTCCTGTACATAACCAAAAAACTCCTATACAAAACGTGAAGTAACCAAATTCTCGATGCTTTTGTAGGCTTTTTCATGTTTCTTTCTTCATTTTAAGCCACACAAATTACAAACATCAAATTATGAAAATTAACAAAATAAAAATCAATCAAAAAAAAAAAATAAATAAATAAATAAATAAAAAAAATAAAAATAAAAAACACAAAACAATTTATCTAAAATTTTCTTTATGCATGAGTTGAGTGTTTTCTCTCTTTACTCTAAAATCTATTTTCATATAGAATTGCTGTTACTGTTTTTTTTTTTTTTTTTTTTTTTTTTTTTTGTTTTTTTTTGGTTCCATTTCTGGCGTTCGACAGATTTCTCATATTTACGTATCATAGTAAACTGCTCTTCAAGTTGTTGTTTTTAATGGAACTGAATATTGAAGTACATTTTCATTAGCATTTAATTTACTGTATAAAATATAATAGAAAATTTCTTTAAAGTAAGAAAAAATTAGGCGTGGCGTAGGTGAGATATGGTGAAGAGGTGTTATTTTAAGTATATTTTCGGCTTTTTGTTTTTTTTCTTTTCGTTCTTTGACTTTATTGCTTTGTTTTTTTTTTTGTATATAAAACACAGTGAGTTCTATTTTACAGAATTGAAATAATTTTCAATTTAAAAGTGGTTTATATAACAATTTCTTGTGTCGTTTGTGGGCTGGTTGTGCAAAATAGTTCGATAGCTCATCGAAATGATTTTGTAATAATTGAAGCTTGGTTTGCCTTAACTTGCTTGAACTGAGATGAAGTTGAAGTGTTCTGTGTATACTGGACTGGGTTTAATTTAATGGGAAATTATAAAAAAATATATATATATATATTTTTTTTTTGTTTTTTGTTTCTTGTGTTTTGTTTTAGCTTTTCTTTCGTAATTAAAAACAAAAAATTAATAAATACAAACTGAAGATGTTGTATATATTTTTTCGTTCTTTTTTCTTTTCTTTTTTTATCAAATCAAATGTGACTCGCAGAGTTGTTCGCAGAGGTCAAAAGCCTGCCAAATCGAGAATTTCTTTCGTTTTGAAAGGGAACGGGACAATTGAATAAATGAGTTTTTTTTTTTATCATCACGAATCATCATCGGAAAGTCCTGCGTTAATAGACAGGCACTACTACTAAAAAAGTGATTGTCTTTCATTGATGTTTCATTGGATTGTGTTCTATTACATTTCAGATTGTGGAACGTTCTAAATTGGTGGTTTTTTAATCATGGAGAATATCGAATAAATGCCCGGAATATAATCGAATAACAATCGCAGTCATTACTGCTATCGATCAGGTCTTTAATCAACTCGGAAATCGCGTTTATTTTAATTCGATCTATGACAGTCACTGCTCATAGATTTAAGATGCAGTTTTCTACTTACTACCAACTTTTCTTGCTCATCATTGTATTGAAATGTTTACGATCTCTTAGTCATAAGCTTTTTAAGCTTTTTTTCGCTTGCTAAAGTGTTTCGATACATGTTCGATGGGACATAATTGTCAGCTTGTAGACGGATAATTTTAATTAAATATTTATGATTAATTATTGCATTTTGTATGAAACTCATTTATTCAATAACTTAATCTAATTATTTATACACAAACAAATGGCATGCATTCGCAGGCAAAAGAAAATTAGCTAAAAGAAAACGAAAACAGAAAACTATTATTACTTTTACTTTCTTTTGAAAAAAAAAAAAAATTTAAACAATTATTTTACATATTAATGGTTGTAATGGTATTGCAACTTATATTCAAAAATTTAAATGCACTAACATGGCTATAGAAATACTATCTATATTCTAAGTCGAACTATTTAAAATGGCCGGCGTAATTACCACCTGTTAGTTCAGGCTCTGACTAATTGCTTTTGTTTGTAACTTTTATGCGTTAATGGACTTGAGGAATCAGTTATTTTCGTTATTTAACGTCAGTGTGTGTACCGTTATGTATAACAATTTGTACTTCAAAGCCCCCAGCCAATTGCAGTCTTGTAAATTAGGAGGTCATGGCGGTGTGTCGCGAACGCTTCAGCCGTATCTTATTATAACATTATACGTTAAGGACAAAGTTCGTGGCATTTTTCCTGATAAATCATCTTAGATTTATATAATCTCGATGACATTTACTCGCGTGTGGACAGGGGAAAATATTATGAAAATCATTAGTTCAGTCAAAGGTAATTGTTGTATGATATTGAACCGAAATTCGGAAAAAAATTCACTTATTTTACAAAATCAATTCTTCTATAATGCAGATGCTTGCTTGAAACCGGGAACTAACAAAAAGGTTTACACCGTTACCAGGGATCGCGCATTAGTCAATAAATAAAATTGATAAAATCGATAGCGTCCTTCAAAAAAATTTAAACATTACTCGGGCACGTTACGTCTTAGGACATCACCGTGCTTGATTCCCTTGCATAAGGCTCAATATCCAAAAAAGAGGGAAGGATGTGAATTAACCGCGAACAAATTTTGATTTGATTTTTTTGAATCGTTGAGAAGGTTAATAATAAGCTGCGTTAAAAAGTGTCACATGAGCACATGAGGATACGGCCAGTAAATTGTGTTCAATGAGTGATTGATTTTATTCTTTACTTCGTTAACTACGATTAATGCGTCTAAACTTCATTGATAGGAAAAGCGTCGTCTAGCAGTCTCATCATATCTGAAATTACTCTGGCAAAATTGATAGAGTTTAGCTAGAATTTTCATGCATGGATTATATAGCCTGGTCTCCTTGTCTCATTCAGATAGCATTGATATCGCTACCTGTTCTGAACTCTTTTGACAATGCAAAGCTGACGCCGAGATGGACCTTTGAAAACCATTTGGTTAAGTGTTTCGTCCAAAATAAAACGCAGGCGCGTTCTACAGAAAAATGCAAATGCTTTTCGATCCAAGATCCATATATATTTAATTTACTATAGTTCATTCAAAATATGAATAAAAACGAATATAATTTAATTATTTTTTTTGAAAAATTTCAGAAACATTTTCCTTAGCCTAACATACGTATATATTTTTTTAGTATACACTTTTTTTTTCGGATATTTTTAAAGATACCTGATCTTTAAGGACTCGATACTATTATGCTGATCTAACTGCCTAAACTATGAAGCTATTATATTCAATAGATATCTGAGCGGCTTAAAGTTAAATGAAATTTTGGAATGTGTAACAAAAAGCAATGCCTATATATATATATATATATATATATATAGTTGAGGTGTAGGAAACGTGCAAAAAACGTGCAGACTTTACGTTAATTAATACTGAATACATTTGATATATAAATAAGAAAATGATTCTATTTACGTAATTATAAAATAGGTTTTTTTTTTTTTTTTTTTTAAATAGTAATGGGATTTTTTAAAACATCATTTTGTCGGCGTATTTTTTCTCAAAAACTCAACACAACTTCATGCATAAAATTAAGATTAAAAAATAAAAAAAAAAAATTAAAAAAGGTAAATAAAAGAAGAGAACATTCTTTTAAACTAAATACTTCCAACCATTCTTTTTTTTTTTTTAAATATATGTATGTATATATAAATTATACTTAGCCTTTGTTTTTCGTAGTAGATTATGCTTATGGTGAGAATGGGTTTACTTGCCTTAATTAAAAATGAAATTGTTATAAATATTGAGAATATAAACATGCCACCTAAACCGTATAGGTGAAGTGTGCGACGACCGGTACGGTCCATAAGAGGTATTGACACTAAAGTCATAACAACCTATATAAACATATATATATATATATATATATATATATATATACATATACATATATATGTAAAAAATTGAAACTGTTTATTATTCTTTCAGGATAAGCGATAAGAAATTTACCATAATTGCACCTATGCCTATTGTGGCAAATTTAGCGCTTTCATCGGAAAGACCCGAACTAACGAACAGTGAAGTGGAATAATAGAATACCGCATTTATACCGCTAAACTGTTGACTTAACTGCATGACTATACCAATTATCAGTGGCGGTCTTAAAGTAGGCGAACATATCAGTTCCATAGTTGATATATGGCTTTCAGCTTGTTGAGCTCTTTCTTCGGCACGCATTTCTTCAATATCCTCTTCCACAGAACTCGAGGCACGTAAACGTCTTAAAGCTTAACGAATAATAATAATAATAATAATAATAAATAATTAATAAACATAATTTGAGAATTTTTTTAAAATTTTCTTCAAAACTGCGACGTACCTTTTCTGGCTTCTTCTTCCCACTGTTTGGTAATAAGTAGATAACGTGGTGATTCCGGACATACGGGCAGTAATATTAATTGTAATATTGCTGGACAAATGGCTAAGCCCAATAATATGGGCCAGCCTTCATTAGTTCCTAATATTTGTTCGATACCCAATACTTGGGATAATAGTAAACCTACAGTCACAGCCAATTGATTTACAGTACCTAAGCCGCCTCGTAAATTTAAAGGCGCTATTTCAGAAATGTACATTGGCACTAATGATGTATTGAGACCTGTACAAAAAGTCAAGAAAAATAGCAAAACAATTAAGAAAATTATATACACATTTGGGGTAGAATCGTTTTCATATCACATCATCCTCTCTTCTCAACCGGTATTAAAGAATTGCAGACGTGTTAATGTTAAAGTTTATATTTTATTTTGAAAAATTGCTTCGGATCGTATATCTATCTATCTATCTATCTATCTATCTATCTATCTATCAAGTCTTAAAATTTTTCTTTTCATTTTAAATATTTATCATATTTTTGGTCCGCAAACATAGTCACTTTTATAGGCATATACTTGCTGACAGCAGGCGGACAAATGTCATGAATACATGTTAATCGAATCTTTGTATTAAATTTTCTTGTGACCTTATGCATCAACAATAGATAACGAGACAGGACTGAATTTTGTTCATGAGTAATAAATCATTGTTTGGGTATGGGTGCGGGTGCGATAACCGATGTTGGGCTATTAAAAATTTCGGTTCATTACTTAATTGTACTTACCGCAATTAACACCAATTATAAAACGGCCAAGGAATAACATTTCATAGGAATGACTAACTTTGGTAAAACCCATTAAACAGGCTCCTGATATGCCCAACACATTGTTTAATAGTAAACCACCCTTTCTGCGTAATGATAAATGAAATATTTATATGATAATTTTTTTTTTTTTTTTAATTTTCATTATCTTTTCTTATTTATTTATTTATTTGTTTGCTTGTTTTTTTTTTTTTTTTTTTTGTCTTATTTTTTCATTTGTTACCTTCCAAAACGATTGGCCATCCAACCGCCGCTGAAACCTCCTAACATACCCCCAATGGCGAATATCGAAACCGCCACCGAATACAGTTGCTGTATAAACTCTTCGCTAATATCCTCGCCATAGCGATCTTTATAAACGTCTTTCATGAAATTTTCAATATTCTTTTCGGGCGCATTTATCACACCGGTATTATAACCGAATTGCAACATACCCAACACCGCCGAGAATATCGAGTACGTCAGAAAGAAGGTTAAACCCTGTATGAATGAATAGATAAAATGTAAGAAGAACACAATACGATTTGCTTTGAATATCTTAAATTCATTTGATGTCTGTCTGGAGTTTATTAATTTTTAGGGAAATTTAAAAATTTTTTAAATTTTCATTATTTTTTTTTTTTGTTTTATTATATTATTATTTCATTTTTTAAAAAATTTTTTTTTTTTTAATTTTTAAAATTTTTTTTTTAAGGAAATAGCGGAGAAAGGTGTGGAGAAATGGCGACTAAAAATATATATAAATTGAATGCTTTGAATATATGGTCGAATATGCCAAGTGATTATAAACCAATTTTCTGTGATAAGATAATAAAAAATAACAATTAAAAAAAAAAAAAAACAACAAAACTATTTAAAATAATATACAGTAATATAATATACAAAAACATAATATAACATAAAAAAAAAAAAAAAATTTTTTAAATCAAAAGAGAATAAATAAATTAATATGAAATATTTCACTATAGTGAGTCTGAAGAAATGCAGAGCCGCTTCTTAATAATGAGAAACGTTTATATTGAAAATTCTAAAGATTTTATTTTTCGTCAGATTATTTGTAATCAATCATAAAATAAATTTTAGTTTTTTGTTAAAGGTACATATAATGATACCCGAAACTTCCTAAAATGCAAATATGTCGGGGGCTTGCTGTGTGCACATCGAGGCGCTTGTATGTGTCTATGGATTGAAGTGTGGCGCAATGCCAAGAGTGATGACGAATGAACAAAGCAAAGAGAGACAGATAGAGAGAGAGAGAGACAGTTGGTCATGATTGACCAACTTGAACTTCTTCTTCTTGTTCTCCTGATGCTCTCACAGGTAACGAAGCATTCCCAATTCTGTAAAAGAAATTGGTTGCCATGTGTTAACTTCAGTAACCTTAAGAGGATCAAACAGTGTAACAGCCAACATTCCCGTAGAATAATAATGTTGGAGGAGGTTAATAAGCGTACCTTGAAATTTTAGAAAAAAATGGTTACGGACTTTGTGATACGGAGCATAATTGAACAAAAAAAAAAAAACAAATATTCCATCTGCATCCTTATATCTAGAGTAATGCGTAGGGATTTTCAGAAATATTCGTTTTGGTGCAAAACTTAAAGATTTTGAGTGAAACACAATTAGTAATAAAAAGTGTTTGAAGTAAATTATCGAAAACTCTCATATATATTTTTTTAGAGAAGGTTGTTTTGAAAACTGCTGAGTTACGATACGTGCGGTTTTGAAAAATTGTGTTCCGAGAAAGACGCGTTTTGAAGTTGAAGGATGTGTGAGAGACATATTTTCTTATTGTGATAAATTTTTTGTTATATATTTCTTTCAAGTTCAAATATTCCCCCTCTTTGGCTTTCGTACCGAAGCGACTGCTTTGCCCCGTCTACTAAAGAAAGAGAGTTTGTTTGAGATAGAGATAGAGAGATAGAGAGATAGAGAGAGAGAGAGAGAGAGAGAGATCTTTCGCTTTACATGTTTCGAAATAACGGACACGTTAGCAAGAAAATGTACAATTAAATAACATTCCAAATTTTTAATGTCTTGTCAAAACATTTCAAGCTCTCAAATCGCCCTCGTCCGTGTATTCATCCAAGGGACGCCTCCATGAATCTACAAAACCATCTGTTAGATTGGACATGGATTGAAATGAACATAAATACCTTCTGAAGAGATCTCTTAGTGTGTTAGAGAAGTTAGATATCAATAGGTAAAACATTAGGCTCTAAGTTCCAGCAGCTGTCGTCTTGAGGAAGAAGGACAAAATTTCAAAGAAAAAATTCCATGCGAGTAATGCATTGTTTTTTTACATGTTCTAGAAAGTCCAAAGCATGTATTAAGCAAACAAGAAACACTTGAAAACATTATAGTCACTCTAAACCCACTACTAAATATCCTACACCCCATTGTCTAACACAATTCTGAGTTTTGCGATAGAACACAAAAATTATATCTTGTTTTTATATGAACTTACTCATATGGAAGTGTACATTAAAAATTAGACCACTTTGCAAGTAAAGACTAAGTTCCTGAATTCCTTCGTGCTTGATATATGATCAAAAATTTAGGGCACCAAGAGACACTTAAGCCCATTCTTATGTCTAACGGACTTGTAGCTTTTACGCGCTATAATTTTCTTTCTTTCAATTTTCCCTCTGCCGGCAATATTAAGTTCGTGTGGATATATGATAAGTTCTTGCACGCAAGTTGGTATTGAAAATGATCCAAGTCGGTTGAAGGACACGCCTACAGTACCACAGCGGCACAGCGAAATAATGTTCGAAAACCCCCTAAAGTAAATAAATTCTTCGCCGATTGCGTATTTGGAATGCATCTAAGCCTGTCCGTCTGCTCGACTGTCTAGCTATTCATCTGTCCAACTGTGTAGTGCTGAGGTACACATTGACCCGTTACCGAAAATGAAGATATTGCTTACAATTTGCAGTTAGAAGTCACCTAATCCCTTCAAGCACACGAATGTTACGTCCGCATGCTTTAAAAACGGGACGGCGCCTAGTCCTGACCCCCGAGTCCGGAGAGCTACGTTTAAAATTTCAAATAATTCAATTTGCTCGCATACAACAATTTTACAAACGGATTATATCCGCCTTCACTACCGGCTCAGCTGTGTGGCTATTAAATATGAAATGTGTTTAAGTGTTTTTTGATCCTTACGCCATAAAAGAAGAATAATTGATGCAGAATGCGAAATTTTCAATAATTGTTGAACATCGTTCCGGCTCCCCCTATTATGTGGGAATTAAAATTTTTGCCTGTCTAAGAGTGAAAATAAAAAGTTTGAAAATCTTAAATTGATAACTAAATTGACAGTTAGAAATAATCTCTAGATTGAAAAGCGAAAGTCGTACCTTCAACAGAAACTATCGAACAAATTAAACACCGGTTCAATAATTTCAGTAATATTTCTTCTTTCTTTATTTTGACTGGAAAAGATTACATTAGAAAACAGTAAGTGAAATGGAAAATTTAGCAGGGGGGGATTGTCATGACTCTTGATTTGTGTACTACGTTGTAATTATGCGCTCAAGTCACCAATCCTCTCAAATATTAGAATCCACAATATGGACGACAATGTTAATTAAAAATTAATGTTAAGCAAACCGCACACTTAAGGATGTCTCGCTTTCCTTAATAGCTTCATTTTGTACAGACTCTGGTCAGCTTTGTTTCGTTTAAGCATAGGCAGCGAAATTCTTGCACCTTGATTACTATATAATAAACCAGTCACTAGACCCTCAGCCTATACAAGATTATTCAATTAGATCTGACGCGGAAAGCGATTGAAAAGTGATCAGCTTTCCCGCCTACAAATTAAAAGTGGGCGGTTGTATATGAACTCGTTCATTGGATTGTACATATTTTTCTCTGTCATTTCGTAAAGTGTAGAGTGAGATCCCGGCTTCGATGTGCGCAACAAAGGGAATCTTTCGAGCTTAAATTCTTTGAGGCAAAAGAGTCTGAAGGAAGGACGTTTGCGTTGTTTACTATTTTCAATGGTGCGGGTCAAAGTACATCAGTGATGCAAATTTCATCAGAATATGTCAATAATTGCGGGTATAAAAATTGACTTTTTTTAAAAACTTATAGTGGTTCACCCCCTTCAACTATTAGAATGCATTGAAACTTTGAATGGGACGCAATCATAATTTTAAAATTTCATTTAATAAGTCTTCTAGCGCGGAATCCATTTCCGCGAAATAATTATGCAATATTCAATTCAATGCAAGCAGATTGAATTAATGAAAACTTCTATTATAATACGTTTCATTGAAGGGTATCATGTTAAGATAAGTTAACATAGTTTTGGGAGCATTTTAATTACTTTGAAGTCAAAATTTTGAAAAGAAATTATTGAGTACTTCGAAACTGTTAAGAACAAAAAAATAAATATGTATAAATATATAAAAACTAAAATAAAATAAATTAAAACAAACTAATATATTTTTGGTATTTTTTGGAATTTTGTTTATTACTTTTGTGTTACAAGAAAATTATATAAAAAAGAATGAAAAAAAATGTTTTTTTTTTTTTTTCATATAAAAAAATAAAATTCGTAAAAAGCAGTCTGTAGAAAATATTATTAAGCCATGTTAGAAAAATATTTATTACGCTTATTGCTATTTTTCTTAATCAATATTTAATTGCACAAGTTTGTCGGTAAACGGCATTTTCGGCTTTTTATTGTCGGCTTTTTTAAATAATTGTAAGGCCTAATAATATTTATAAAAAATTGTATTGATTTTTTTGTTTTTCTTTGTTTTCTTTTTCTTTTTCTTTTTCTTTTTCTGTTTTTTTTTTTTTTTTTTTTTTTTTTTTTTTTTTGGAGAGGGGTAATTTGTCTGTTAATATATAATTATTTTCTGATTGTTTCAATAAATTTTTTTTTCATATAAATTTTTAAAAATGAAAAAAGAAGAAAAATGAGTATTTTAATGAGAAATTGAAGTATATGTTTTTGTAATTACACAACATGGCAAATAATTTAAGCTACAAACTTGTTCTAAAAGTCTTAGCTTCCTTCTGTGGGTGTGTTCTTCTAATCTATCGACATATTCGCGTAATTCTTCAATTTCCTCTTTCACTTGTTGTACGGTGTCCAATTCATGCTTTATGGCCACCATGTCGCGTTTTACCTTTAATTACGTAATAATAAGAATATTATTAATTATTTTAGATAAGACGATGCAATTATTCTTTAACGACTTACTTCTGATACCTCACTTTGGCAGCTTTCAACGGATTTTGTTAATTCTTGTAATTGTGATCGTATTTCGCACAAGGCGACTGTCGTCTCCAAGTGTCGATCGCCTCTTTGAAGCTCATCTAATTTTGCTGATAAATTCATACTCATCACGCTAACTTGCTTTTGCAAACTGTTCGATAAGAAAGTATACGTTTTTGCAGAAATATTTAAAACAAAAAATTAAAACAAAAATTCTCTTTGCTTTAATGTTTTTTTTTTCAAAAAAAAAAAAAAAGAAGGAAAACGTTGATTTTTAACTATTTTAATTTTTTTCTATTTTGTGTTATAAAAGTTTCTCTTAAATAAAAGATTAGATCAAAGAAATGCAACTAAACATATGTATGTGTGTTATAAAATGTTATCGACATGCATTGTTAATGTTATGTAATACGAAACGGAAATGTATAGGAGCGATTATAAATTGTAAAATAAATAAATAAATAAATAAATAAATAAGTAAATAAAGTTAACGTGTTTAAGGTCCTGCAAGGCTAAATAATGTGTTTTACAGGTTACATTCCTTAATGTGTTTACTATCGTTGTGTTGTTATATTTATTGAAAGAGTAGAATTATGTAAGCCAGGGAGTATAAGATTGTTAGGTGGTGTATACGATATTCGTTAACAAGATAAAGCGAACATCCATTTAATTGTTATAAATTATACTCATCATCGCTTCCTGCATGTCGCGTATTATATGCATTCATTATATATATATATATATATATATATATGTATGATGAACACATGTGTGAATTTTTTAAAACAATGATTAGGAAAAAATGTCGTATGTTGCTTAAAAATGGTTTTTGATGGAGCAAAATACCGCGGTGATCAAACTGTGGCTTATATAAGTCACTCTTGAGACTCTGTACCGGGATTATTAACTGCAATTGACATCGATGATGGTGAACGCTCTGGTTGTCTGAACTCGCCAATTCCTCCAAAAAGCATAATAGAAGCTCACAAAAACACTGTAAAAGCGCAAAAACTGAAGTAGCGTAAGATAGCTGGCACCTTAATTGTTATCAGAAGGCACTGTATTTACTATTTTGCATGAAAACTTGCCCATGCGAAAGCTCTGTCGAAGAGTCAGAGCGCTGTTTGGAACTATTCAAGCGAAAACGAAAAACGATTTCTTGTAACATTGGATGAAACGTGGACTCCTCGCTAAGCGGAAAGGCGATTAAAAGCTCAACTATCAATTGGCAAGATTGTGACATCCATGATCTGTGACGTGCATTGCATTTTCTTCATCGACTATCTTGAAAATTGATCAACAAATAGAAACTAAGAAAAAGCCCTGTCTCACTAAGGCAACGCCCCGTGTCACAACACACCAAAAACTATACATAGTTAAATTGAATGGATTACGCTTCGAACGATCGAATCCATTGTAATCTCTATGTCTAGCCCTCAGCGATTAATTGTTTTCTGCTAAAAAAAAGAACAACATTTTCGTACTCTATTTATGCCAGAAACACGGAAAGCATACTCTTCTCAGTTTTTATTGCAGAGGAGAGTAAGCGTTTTAGGCGTGTCCTTTGAAAAATTTGATTCATTTTCAAAACGTTTACATATGAAAGACATATTAGGAACGGACAGATAGACGAACAGGTGGGCGGACATGCTTAAATTGACTCAGAATTTAATGTTGATCAAGAATGCATATACTTTCTGCGGTCTCCGAAATTTCCTTCTGGGCGTTGCAAACGTTTTGACAAAATGAATATACGCCTTATCCTTCGGTGATGAATGAAAAATTAGAACAGCGTTAGAATTAATGTATCATTCGTGAAGCAAAGTGTGTTAATAAAAAAAAGATCTTAGTTATATCGTTTTACAGTTAGTTATATAAAAAAGATCTTAGTTATAACAGGTATCCGACATTATATATAGTGTATAGTGTTAATTTTCAAACTTGTTACATATATTATGTTAAATTAAAGAAACATTTGAAAGCTATCTTAAGGCGCGAAATTAAGATTTCTACAAATTTTCAAGGTCATATTGAAAAGATAATTGAAAATGATCAATACTTTGATAAACGATCGGTTTCGCGGATATTCAAGCTTAACTTGAAAAGAGGAAAATTTTGAGATTTTTTTCTTTCTATATCCGCATTCGTGGTTCGAATCAAGGATAAACGAAACAAACCTATTAATCTTAATCGATACTTGAGATCGATAGTTCGATCAATTGCAAAAATTTATTCCGGCAAATCGGATGCGATTCGCGGCAACAACAACTAATTTATTTCTTATTATACGTATGCATTATTGAGATAATATTGAGTGTATAAGTAATTTCGGGTAAAAATTTCGACAAATATTATTCTCAATTATTCCCCTTCATGTGTAGGATAACAAATTGATTGGAAGTTTAAGAGCCAAAGGTATTAAAAAATGTTATCTTTAACGATTTTGATGATGATGGTGAAGACTTTGAATTTTGCATTTTCAAGCAAACACATATTTGCTTTGGTAAAAAATAATTTTATTGATAAAATCTTTAGGTTCTTGGACGCCTTCAAATGACTTTTTATGCATGGCTTTCTTTTCACTAAAATCCTAAAACTTCTGTTATAAGAGAGAGAGAGAGGCAAAAAGAAAAAAAGAAAGTAGAAAAAATATAGAAGTAGAGAAGAGTGATTGTAAGTCATTGAACGTGATGAAATGCATATATATTGGTGATCAAAATTTTATTTTTATTTTGTTTTTATTTTTATTTTTTTTTTTGCTACAGATTTATATGTAAATGCAATGCACTTCATAGCAATTCAAGATTAAAGACTAAAGGCCGAATTTTGACCATGATATAGTTTTTATTTATTTAATGTTTTTTATTCATTATTTTGAAACTATTTCATTACAATGATTGCTTCCGTTTATTACTATTATGGAGAATTGTGTGCAAATGGATTTGTTAAAAATCCATTATTAGAATTATTTTCTAAAACCCCAAGAAGAAGATAAAGGGAACGATGAAGAAGAATGCAAACGATGAAATGCAGAAAATGACCATAAGTTAGAAACTTGATGTTTGATTATTAACTTTTCAACTTCGAAAGTGTTGATTATGGGCCAACCAAAAAAAATATTCATTATTATAATGCTTCAGTCAGCAAGAAACCTAAAATAAAGTATACACATACAAACACACACATAAATATAAAGATATATTTAAATATATACAAAGTAGATATACATATATATATACAAAAAAAAAAAAAAAAAATACACATGGGAATGTGTGTGTGTTCATCTGTTCAAGCAATCATACATGTCTTCTTTCATTGTTTGCTGCAAAACGGGGTTAGAAAATATTCATGCTATCGCAGTAAGCGCTTATGAAAAGTTATATCAGTTATAGATCGTAGAGTTTTAATGAAAATAATGAATGGGAGATTTTGATTGAGCGCCAAAGCTTTAAACGACTGCTTTTATGGCATGTGCAAAAGTTGACTTAAGCACCTTCGACGATTATATTACAGGATTTTGGCGTAAATTACCCTAAGTGTAGTGCTTTCGAAATTTTCTTAAGTTTATCTACGCATGGTTTCCGCAATATTTTTCCTAGAATTTCCGTTGGCCGCAATCCAATCATTGACCCATTTTCGGACTTCTTCAGCATTTCGTAAACGTGTGCCAGCCAAGCCACGCTGCATCAGAAGACGCTATGTCTTGTGAGTAACCTGGATACGGTAGAACTTTTCATTGAAGCTGCAACAATGCATCCTTGACAACTTTTGCATGACTTTGAGTCTGTTATTCGCTATTGCTGATCTGTGTTTGCAACAACGCATCGTTTAATTTCTTCACTTGACTTCGGCAGCTCATAATATACTATTCCTTGTTGATCTCCCTATACGCACAGTACAAATTTATGCGCTGAATAATCCGCTTCGGTGTAGATCCATTTTTCATCGCCACGCGCAATACGTCACAGAAAATTCTACCTTTTCTTGTCTGGCAAGTTAAAACGGTTCGAACTGGTATTTTCAGTCAATTCATACGATAACCATTTTGCCCCTTATCGCATGCAAACGTCTACAAACAGTTAGTTCTTAAATTGCTAAGCGGTTCGAAAGTTGTTCGAGATGTTTGGTTGGGTTTCCGCCCAACAAATCTTATCATTGTCTTCGAACTTTTCTGACCCTCCAAGACGTTCTTTTTCATTCACATCCAACTCATCACTTTTAAAGCGACAAGATAGGGCACAATAAGCTTGTAAAAGTGTTTGTCGGACTTCGGCAGCAGATTTCTTCAAATCAAATGAATGTCGAAAATGCAATTGTGAGCGTTCCATGACTACGGTCTGTATACATCAAATAACTCAATAATGCTAAATGGAAAACTGTCGTTTTACGTAAGTAACGATTCGCATCATCGAAGTTACCTCTACAAAGAGATTAGGTTGAAATTGCCTGATATAAAACGTAATGTCGTAAGTCTGGCTGCCTGATGACAACATAGCCTTGAAGTCTGCTTCGGTATCATATAATTTTTTTCATGCGAAAAAGTTAAGTTTTTCGCTAAGCGTTTATGGATGATAACGAGTGAATGCGTGACGATATCCAAAGACCAAACAACCATTACGAAAGGTAGGAGAGCAATTAACAGCGACGATCGCCCCATTTGGTTAGGCCAACAGCAGTAGACGGTGTATTGTGGTTTATTCCAATTAAGAAGTGATACCAACAATAATTGATGGAATTGCGACAAAAAATGGGCATGATAAGCCAATAGTCATGATATATAGCAAAACTCGTTCAAGAAACGTTTGCGATTGTAATCTCGAATATCTCATGCTCCCCGTTGGCGTTAGCAGGCATTGCCTTCCGCCTTCAGAGTATCATTTGTTCCAAATAAATAAATAATCGCACATAATATATTTGGAGTTTTGAAGTTTGAGGCAGAAGTACACGCAAACAATATGATGAAGTTAATATATTTCGGTAGAACCGCAAAGGAAGACAACAGAAACATTGACTTTTAAACATTAAATTCTCTCGCAGATGGCCTCTACGGGCGCAGTAATTGCGAATAGTCTTGGAAAATATATAGATAAACGTATCTTTACTGCAAGGAGATATGGACACACGAATACTTGGAATTAGGAAAATAATTTC